GGGGGCATATTAAATACTGGGGAAGCATAAAGTCCCATTCATTGTACTCTTGTTCATTATAATTTAACTAAATGTTGTTTGGCCCTTTTGATGGACCCCTATTTGGCTACTGTGTCCTCTGCCCAGACATAATGTCATTGCCTTCCAGTATATGTTAATAAGCTAGTAACTAAATGTAGAGCCAATCAGATGACTGGGTAGAACCATGTGATCAAACTCTGTCAGCAGTGTTTACGCTGATACAAAAACTGGTACATGTGTAGAAAAGTGTTCTTTTCAATGTGTGTACTTATTTGTAGAAATTTTTCTTCTGCATGATAATACCAAAAGTTTTTCCTCATACATTTTTTCAGCTTAAAATGGCTTCTTCTTGATTGTTTGACCATTACCCTCATTAGAAAATATATCCAAGACTTAACCATTGCTACAGATTTAACTTGGGCAGACTTTAAGGAAAATAAGACTGCATCCAAGTTGGTATAAAACAAAAATGAAAGAAAAACTTAGTTGAAAGGAACATTTATTTGGGGAAAAAGCATTTTCATTTGTACAGAGATTATGTGCAACAGACAGGTGGGAAGAGTATATTGTCATATGACCTTGAAACAGCTGTTGCATGATATGATCTATAGATGGCAGCTATCAAGCAGTTGGCTGAATTACAAAAGTCTTTCACTGCTTTAACACAATCTCCTGTTGCCTACCATGTCACCAGGAGAATTGACAGCTTCACAGAGTCAGGATGCCAAGGATATGTTTCAAGTGGAACATGTACCAAATTCTTGTATATAGTTTGCTGACAATGTTTTCATACTTAAATGCTATGTCAGTCAATAGATATTCTACTTGAGAGTTTGATATCTTGATTTAGAAGTGATTATGATTATTTTAGAAATAAAGGAAAGCAAAGCTAATTTCAGTTTTCCATTCTATTTTTGTTTCCTCATACCACAGTAATGCAGATCAATAAAGTAGATATTTTTATTCCTTAAATTGAAATAACTTAATGTGCTAATTTTATATGAATTTTCAATAGTTCAACTTTTTTCCTGTTATGCATTTTATGGTTTATATGTCTGATTCAAACGTTATGGGAGAGTCATAACAGGAACATCCTTTGTTTTGAAACATGCATGTTTTCTAAGCTCCTGGAAAAGACTTGGAAATTTTTCTTTAAAAAAGCATGGGAACCATGTTTTTATAAGATTTTTTAATTCTCCACCTTAGGGGACATCCATAAAGTATGTGCACAAAAAAATTGCCAGTTTTGACCCCTCCCATTGCACTATATTAACTGATGTAAACCCCCGCCCCCAGCATATGTAATCTTTTGTGCCATGTGTTAAACTGACCAAAGAATTCTGCAAGCCTACAATTTATGGATCCTGTCCATAATCAGCTGGTCCTACATTTCATCATAAAAGATATCTTTACTAGCCAAGGTTTTGATATGATAACCCAACCTACACCTTGGCAGATTGAATAGATATTTTAGTGCTCTGTCCTAAGGACATCATTTGGATTTCATGAGTTGCCTCCCTTAGTATATAATGCCAACTAACAAATAGCATGTAACAGTGGTGCGTCAATCAAAAATGGTGGAGGTAATTGGCCTAAAAAGGATACTTTAACAGTTTAACATCGAAAGTATGACTATGTAACCAAAGGAACCCTTACAGGTCTATTTGAGTGAAAGGTATTTGTACAAACACAGTCCAGCATTGGAAAATTATATATATGTCCATTCAAGTTGTGTGCTCCCCTTGTCATGATCAGGTAGGAACAGTGTTTGAACAATTTAATTTTGATTGCCTGGAGAGGCTTGTTGCCATATGCAATGAAAATCACAGAATGGAATCACAGAGATGTCTACTTGTTCCACCAAGGTGTAGATAAGCTTATCATATTGATACTTTGGCTAGCAAAGATGCATACAAGGAGTCTAAATGTAGTCAATTCCCCAATGGTGAATTCAGATAGAGATGAATATAAGCCCTTAGTAAGGTTATTTATACAGTGAAATACATGTATCATATATCAGAGTTATTAAATGTTATTAAATTCAGCATAAAATGGCTACTATTTCCAGGACAATAATGCTAACTGTCCAGATCCATACATAACTCATTTAGAGGCCTGGCATGATAATCTAACCATTGATGACCAGTCTGATTTAAAGTCAGTATAAGAATCTGGATTGATTTGTCCTCATTGACCAGTTTGATTTAGAGTCAGTATAAGAATCCAGATTGATTCATCATCATGACTATCTGATTCAGAGTCAGTAAAAGAATATGGATTGATTTGTCATCATGACCAGTCTGATTTAGAGTTGGTATAAGAAACCGGATTGATTCATCATCATTGACAATATCAGATCCAGACCCATCATTCAAAGATGAGTCTGTGATAATGCAACTTACATATGAAAGTAGATCAGCCGAAAGAGGTGTTCCAAATGAGAATTGTTCAATCTATAACTGGATCAAATACATCCACAACAGGATGCAGATTACCAGTTAACGTTCGTTCAACTGAACATTATGAATGATATCTGTGTCAGTAGTAGCACAGTGAATTGTAGACATATTTACTTAATTTAAATATCATTTGTATAGTCATTTTCTTTAATTTGCACTTTTACATAATGTATTCTTGTGATATAATTTGTCTAATGAGTAGACCCTGTTTGTTTATCTGTGATATGTGACAACTCCTATAACTACTTAGTCCTGTATCAAAATGAACGCTTCCATAACTCCAGGGCCAACAAGGCTAAATACAGGCACACATACACCTATTTTTTAGATACTAATATCAAATGAGTAGCATTGCTCTGTATGGTGATTCAAATGGTGTTGAAATCATTCACACACAAGATGAACTCTGTATTTCACATGATCTCAACATGCATCCATATTTCAAGCAAATACTTTAACCTATCATGTTCATTTGATAGTGTCATATTCCTTTGTAATCTTTTTGCCATGGCTGTGGGGGATTTTTCAGTGTCTGGTGATATCCAAACAGACTCAGATCAAAATCACCCACATTTTTATAATAGAACTTCCAACTATTTCAGCTTTGGAAGGTAATAGAACTAGAATGGTTGACTCATTTATCTTGATGCTTAATGGCTTGAATTTATATAACTGATTAAACAATACTTCCTGACAATACTTGTATAGTTTCTTTATTCAGTCTGTCTTCTTGCAATTTTATACATATATATATATATTACTAGCTCCATCAAATATTCAAGTTCATTATCTGCTCAGAAAAACACCATCGAAGTGGCCATTTTAGAGAGGTGACTGTTATCATGGCAAATTAGTAATTATTTCTATGGTGGTTGAGCAGGGTGCAAAACATAGAGTAATTGTGATTATGAGAGGCCCTTCTTTATGATGATATGATCCACACAGACCATAGGAAATCCCTGAATGCAGATACCCTTACAGCGTTGTCACAATACAAAATTAACACGGATTCTTGTTGCATGGATTTTAAAATGCCCTTCAAAAGGTGTAAGAGTAGTGTGCAATTGAGAATGAAGAGAAAAAGTGACTGAGATGTAAAAAATGTATAAATATGTGGTGTAGTCAGATGTAAATAATTGCATTTTATGTGATCTTGTTAAAAATATGAGGTCTTGGGTGTAATTTTTTTTCTTTATAAGAGGGGGGTTTTTTTGGTCTCCCAGAAATGCCAGATAACCTATGACAAGAACTTCACTGTGAGTTCATCTTTGAAGGTATTTTAGATTACAGTAAATATGTGGTGTATTGGCTGATGCTTTTATCACAGCAATCCTCAGGATCAGATTTATCAAGTTTCAGTTATCAACATACCTATGTATCTTTTATCAGCCCCTTAAGGCTCTACATACAGGTATAGGACACTCTTTTCAACCCTACAATCTCCCTAAAGTCTCTCTTCTTGAGGTATTTCTATAAGCAAACTCCTAGCTTGGCTAGTACAATGTCTTGTGACAAGATTTGCCAGCATTATGCCAAAGATTATTTTATGTGTACAATAAACTTTTATTGAACCTATGTCTTGCATGTTGCTTAGGTGAGAATCCAGCAAAATATTTTCCATCCTTTGATTTAAGAACTTTGTTTTTTGTTTATTTTGTGCTCAAGCAGTGGGTGAAAGTTCACAGATGAATAAGGTCATAAAAATACATCATTCTTCCCTGAGTGTCATCATCCAGGTTCTTGCTCTGCTATGTTTACAATTTAGTTGAAATTTTTTTTATTTTGAATGCAATTTATTAATGCTACTCTCATCTTCATTTCAGACTGTCAGGGAGCATTTGGACTGATCTGTAAAAGTAGTGTAGAAATGAAGGAAAAGTTGTATGCTTTCATGCTGGATGGGGAAGAATCCAGTGCTAAACTTAATTTCATCACAACAGTATCAAAGACTCTAGCAAACATGCTATGTCGGACAGACTATGTAAGTAATTCTTATAATGTATCAGCAATACTTTTTTTTAGTTATGATTATCATTGATAACAAATCTCAGTATTGATTTACAGGTCAGACAGTTTTGTAATTCATAAAGTCATTTTGGTAAAATATTCTCAATTTTAACTGATATCAGTTTATACTAAGCAGATGGTAGGATGCATCCTTAAGCACCAGGCGTTAAATTATATTACATCAGTGTTACATTTCTTTTCTTTTTTTAAGGAAAGAAAAACATAATCATGATATGAAAGCAAAATAATATTCATTTTTATTAAGACTGTTGATTTGCTTGAAGCTCAACATGGCATTTTCTTTGGCATCTGTGAATGTGTGCATCCATATGTCCATCCACAATGTTAAATTTCTTTGCATTCATTTTATTTTTAAACCATTTTATCCCATTTGCTTCAGGTTTGGAATATAGCTTCAGCATGCACTTACCTCAAGCTAAATAAATGTCTTCATTGTCTATGCATGGAGGTGGGCAAGGGCTAGTTTATTTTATAGTACACTTCTTTCTCGGGGACCTCTCCGGTGGCCTAGTGGTTAGAGCATCCTCCTTGGATGTGGGAAGTCAAGGGTTCAAACCCCATCTGAGTCGTACCAAAGAATTATAAAAATGGTACAAACTGCTGCCTCGTTAGGCACTCAGCATTAGGAGGTTGTTGTTATAGGGTTTGATGCCATTTTTCAGCACAAGATAGGCTATACATGGTGGCCAGTATTAATGGTGGAGGAAGAACCCGGGAAGAACCACCAACCCACAAGAAGCTACTGGCAGGCTTTCTCACTTACGTTAGCAGAACATTAAGAGGTAATTATAAGGACTGGTCGACCTGGTGTCAGGATAATGTGTCTGTGTGGGACATAATGCTACATGTTACAGCCCCAGTGCTAGACATCACAATAAACTGCCACACCGCTGGCATCATAGTGATATGGCTGAAATTTTATAAGCAGTGTTAAGAAATCAAATCACACTCACACTCACTTCTCTCTTGATAACTCACACACAAAAGGATTCAAAAACATACCACGGCATGTTCATGGTGTCACTGCATGTACATTGCAGATTTTAACTTGCGCTGAATAATGTAGATCCAGGATTTGAATCATGGGCACCACTGCAGTAAACTTAAATAAATCTCCAAAATTTAATAAAGAAATTTAAGAAATAATGCTTGGAAAATAATTGTAAATCTGTATAAACTTGAGTTGAGTTTGCTTTTATATAAGCGACCTTAAATAAGTACCATTTACAAAGTTACATTAATAATACTTATATAGCAAAAGGTAATTACACATCAAAGTACTGGCATAGCTGCCAGCAAAAATTCTTTATTAACCCAAGCTAGTTTAAGGTTTAATTGATTAAATAGCCTGGATTGCTGTCGGAAGGCAAAGGACAAATCCACCAATAATAATGAAAGGAGACACCAAAACTACCAGTGTGTGGAAAATTAAAATTTTGTTTTGCCAGAACACAAAACTAATATAGATAGATGATGATCTTAGTCATTCTTTTTTCAGAATTTTAGCCTTTATTATGATCATACTTTCCTGAACATGTGAGATGTGAATATATGCAATTTAGTTGCTATATACAATCACATGTGCATACCTTTCAGAAAGATTACATCGCTGATATCACTATAAAAACAGTAGCCTATGAGCATGGAGATCAAAAAAATGAAACAATTATGTATATCTAGCTGGAATATAATCTTGAAGAATGCAGTTTGGAAAAACCAATGAATAAAGCAAAATTTGCATCTTATATTTTGTGGAATAAACAAGATATAAATGATGTGCACTGTGCAAGTACTGTGTACATTATAGTACAGCGTGGTCTCCATGTAAAGTCTTCATGGACTGGATAGACTTTACCTTTATTTAATTTCATTTGGAGAAGTCTAAAAAATATACAAATGCAAAAATAGAATTAAAACATAATAGTTTCTTAACAGTTTATTGACATGATTATTTAATGAGCTGTTGAATGAAATATCTACATTGTAATTTTTGTCTTCAAATTGTTTTGGTCTACAAATGTTAGGATGCTGAACATACTATTATCTTTTTTATAAATTCAAGTATAAGCTAACAAAAAAAGAATTATTTTTTGTGTCCTAAGATATACAGTCACTCCAGTAGCACTGTTATTTGGGCACTAAATGTTCAGCAACAAGGCTTCAGTTCACTGCCTTTTTTTTTTCCATAAAGCCATTGGCCTCACATGTATACATAGCATGATATTCAGCTATCGGTGGAAACAGATGCCATTCAAAGTAAAGGAAACTTTTTATCAGCAACATGATGTGTCACTTGATGTAGCATATATAAACAGGACACCTGCACAAAGATATTCTTGCATTGCAGCAGAATGGTAAGATTTTAATAGGTGCTTGTTTTGTATTGTGGTTGTGCTTTAGCTAGCTTGTGATATAATCCAAGCTAAAGGATTTAGCTCAGAAAATATTGCAGCCTTTTGTGAGGTTGAGTCAACTTCCTCCAAGGTGATTGGAGTTAACAAGGCATAGAAGCAAGGCAACAAAAACAAAAAAAATTAAAGCCTGTTGTGACAAAAGTTCAAAAAGTGACAAAACTCAAGCATGTTGTGGAGACTTTTTCAGAAACTTTCCAGGCTTTCTGATTTAATTGTCTCCTAGAAGGATAGAACAAACTGATTTATTGATCAACCATTACAGACATTTATAAAGCAAAACAAAAATACATGTTCTTGGCATAAAAATTAGGATTTTTTTCGACCTGACCTGATTACTTCTTATCCTCACATGTATATGAATTTTTATTTTTCTGGTACAAATCTTGTATCTTTAGCAATTAATAATGGGGGGAAAATGCACTTTTCTCCTCAAACACATCCATGTTTAGTTACCAAGAAAAAGAACCCCATGGCCTGAAACAAAAAAAATAGAATTATAATTTTGACTTGTGTTGAAGCCAATTGACTTTATAGTCCACAAAGAAGCCAATTGACTCTATAGACTACAAATGAAACCTTCCATCTGTAAACTTGACTTTTAGTGACTTTGATTATGAGTCAGAGACTATTTTTATTAATTATGCCTTTATGTTTGGAGAAAAAATATCATCAGACTTAATAATCCATTTGAAACTGACATGATGCCACCTTTGTGGGATAGTTTACATATTTTTTTTTTCAATATTTTCAAATGCTTGCTTAGTGAAATGGTGAACTGTTAAATTTAAGTCAGACAAGCAATATCAGGTCCACTTGAGCCTTTTGTTTTCTTTGCAACAGTCATCAGTGGTTTTAGGTCTTAAATGTCATATATTGTCATGTGGAGTTCAGTACAGTCATCAGTGGTTTTAGGTCTTAAATGTCATATATTGTCATGTGGAGTTCAGTACAGTCATCAGTGGTTTTAGGTCTTAAATGTCATATATTGTCATGTGGAGTTCAGTACAGTCATCAGTGGTTTTAGGTCTTAAATGTCATATATTGTCATGTGGAGTTCAGTACAGTCATCAGTGGTTTTAGGTCTTAAATGTCATATATTGTCATGTGGAGTTCAGTACAGTCATCAGTGGTTTTAGGTCTTGAATGTCATATATTGTCATGTGGAGTTCAAAGCTGGAAGTCAGAATCACAGGATACAGCTTAATTTATGGTATAATGTTTATATAGTTGTAGGAGACTAGTTAAATATATCACCATAAAAGATATGGTAAACAGAAAGTAAGAACAAATTGTAGTGAAACATTGAATAATTATGACCATCTGCTTCATTTTATGATCTATATTAAAATGGGACATGCAGAAAAATATGGCTAAGATCTAGTGTAGTCTGTTTCCCCTATCAGCACAATTCAGATGCTTGTTCTGTTCATCATCATTAATGGATTTACTGTTTTACCTCATCAGGAAATTCTGACAGCCATGGTACGGGGAGAGGAACTCCAGCTGAACACTGTTGAGCTTGGTTATAATACACTAAGTAAAGCTGTAAGGTAGGAAAAAAGATTGTTTTAAATACAGAATAAATTACTTATTTCAGCCAATTTCAGCTTTGTGAATGTCAACATTTGCAGTTTCATTTTTGAGTATCATATTTTGAAGTGCTAATAATGTTATTGAATTTATTTATTTGTGATATTTTTTCCCATCAACTTAATCTCTATCAAAATAGTGCCTTGTTCTTCCAGTTGTTGAATAACTTGGGCAAAGAATGATAGAAGTTTCATATAAAGGACAATTTAGATCCATTTCTACATTGAAGTGTCATGGGTGATTACTCTCAGTCATTCAAAGTGACATATAAAGGACAATTTAGATCCATTTCTACATTGAAGTGTCATGGGTGATTACTCTCAGTCATTCAAAGTGACATATAAAGGACAATTTAGATCCATTTCTACATTGAAGTGTCATGGGTGATTACTCTCAATCACTCAAAGGTGTTAAGTTTCTGCATTCAAAGCACCTTGAGAGAAAGCACTTGTTGCCATATTTTTGGTCACTCAGTGATGGTTAAGACAGACAGAAAAGTTAATGTCATGCTTAGACCACCCCATTCTTATTGACCTAGGTTAATTTATCCATGACCAGAAAAAAATCCAGAGATGCCACCCATTCACTGATGCCAAATTCTTATGAATATTGACAAAATTCAGAAAGGTCACAGTTTGTGGAGTACAGTTTTTAATAGGTGTTTTCTGTGTGGAAACGAATAGGGAGTAGAGTATTCCAGCACCAACATGATAAACTGGTATGTAGAACAGGCTGTAGATTGCAATAAACCATTTGATTAGGGTGTAAATAGTGAAAAATGGTGGCAGATGAAAGGAGAATAATTTGTTCATGTTTATGGTTATTTTAGCCAAACATTTTTCAAGAATATATTGTTTTAAAATTGTAGGAATGGATTTGCCATTTATTCTTATTGGGTGTTAATTTTTACTGACTGCTTACAGATATGTGTAGATTGATAACAAGATGAAATCAGATCAAAAAAGTTTGTTCCTTATTGTGTTATCCATGGGCAGTGTAGATTCTGAAAAATTGACTTTTGGATTACTAATGAGTATTTTCATGAACTGGCATGATTGATAAATAGGTGTATAATACTTGTATTATCTGCATCAATGGGAAGCTGAGTGAGGTTTAAAAACGCAAAATATTTTTTCCAAATATAATGTTACTCTCAAATGTTCTTTTGATGAATAAAAGTTTTTTAATATTGTTCAAATAGGTTTTTTTGTCAGCATTATAAATTTATGTACCTAATGCATCTTGTAATATATGGTATACCCAATTCTTGCCAATAACACCTAAAATAAGCATAGCTCATGAAGGTCAAAAGTAATAGTCTTTATTTTAAGAGAGTAGCCAGATTAGTTTATCATATTTATTCTCTCTTGAGGCCCTTTTGATATGTCAACATGATACCATCCATAATTATCTGCAGTATATATTGACATTAATAAACCTTGTTGTGTATCTGCCAGTAATATAAATATTACCTTTCCTTCAACTGCATTTCCATGAAGTGAAATGCTTCTGGACAAATTGTAAAGATAGGAAAATCTTTAGATCACATTAATGTCACTGATCTA